TGATTAGGTCCCTGGCAGTCGGTACTGCCTCTTGTTCTTTTTTTTGAGGTGATTATTTCCATCTTGTCATTTTGTCCAGAGGAGAATAGATGAATGAGAGAACAAAATACTAACAGGGTAACAATGACCCCAGAAAAATATACACTAAACAAATCAGAAGAGACCTTCCAGAAAGTGGTCCTGTAGATAGGGTTTGATCCCTATCTAGCTGAGTTCCTGGGACCAAACGAAATTTAGGTCTCCTACTCCTCCGCCATCTTGCTCCTCCAGTACCAATTAGATCTTATATTAAAAAAATAAAACCCAACAAAACTTAATGTTAGATTTTATGACTATAGTCTTAACTTACTGAGAGACAGATTTTTTTTAATTTATTTAATTTATTTAATTTTATTTTTAAGCAAAGGCGCAACATTGTTCTAATGCCACCAATTAAAGATTTAATAAGCTGTCTGGAGAGCTAACATTGCCTGTGTCCCAGGCACCACCCATACATTAATCATTTAATTTCCACAATAACCTGAAAAGGTTGGCCTCATTAATCACATTATTGATATCGCATGGAAGATCTGCCCCAAATCAAGTGGCTAATAAGTAAATTCAAACCCCATGTCTTATTTCCCGTCTCTTATTCCCCCTAATCCTTTGAAGCACCAAACACTGAGTTTGGGATGAGTGGGAAGATACAGAAGGGCTAGAAGCCACTTGGCAGGGGTGGTTTATACCCATGGTTGGCACATTTTGTCTTAAAGGGCCAAATCGTAGATATATTAGGTTGTGTGGGTCAAAAGGTAAAATTGAGAATATCATATAAGTACTTACATGACCATTTAAAAAGGTAAAAACCATTCTTAGTTCATGGGCCATGCAAAACAAGCTGGGAGTCATTTCTACCCTGGAGACTATAGTTTGCCAGCCCTTGGTACGGACTGTGTAGAGAAAAGCTGACAGGGGCGCCTGGGTGGCTCAGTTGTTTAGCGTCTGCCTTCGGCTCAGGTCGTGGTCCTGGGGTCCTGGGATCAAGCCCCGCATCGGGCTCCTTGCTCAGTGGGAAGCCTGTTTCTCCCTCTCCCTCTGCCTCTGCTTGTGTTCCCTCTCTGCTGTCTCTCTCTCTGTCAAAAAATAAATAAAAATCTTTTAAAAAAAAAAGAAAAAGAAAAGAAAAGCTGGCAGAATATGAGGTCAAATAGATGTCCTGCAAGGCTAATTATAGTTCTGAGGTTCTGATTTAAAACCCAATTTCAGTTTATTACTGATTTGATTTTTCAAATCTTGAGACCTCATCTTCCAGTTTATGAGGCTCATGCAATTGGCCTGGCTCTTTATTACCTTTAATTAGAGAATGTTACATGTTATAAGCCTTTTGAATTTCCCCAATGGATCCTATTAAATCAGCTTGGATGGTTTTTGGGTAACTGAGTAGAATTCAGGTTAGTTCTCTGTAGCCAGGTTCATTCCTTTGGAGACTAGAGAATTCCAGAACTGCGAGTGACTTGTGAGGTCTTTGAGTTTATCCTCCAAATCCAGGCACTTTTCTAAGAATATGCTTATAATACACACACACACACACACACACACACACACACACACGATTTATTGAGCACCTACTTCATGCCAAATAGCATACCAAATGCTTTCATGTATGTAATTTCAAACTCCCATCACTCGTATAAGAGATAAACAAACCCAGCTAAACCATACCAATAATTGTGTTGCTAGCACCAGATGGCTCATAAAGGATATAATCTGGCAGGGTTGGGGAGTAGAAGAAATGTGTTTAGTATCCAGTTATTTGCAACAAAGAGCAATGCCAGTTACCTTTTTTTTTTTTTTTTTTTACTGCATTTTGTTTGTTTGTTTTTGCTTTAAGTGAAGATGAACATATTTATTTTTACACAAATGTTTGGCTGGAATTCCCTCTTTCTAGAAATGTAAATGTCAACTAAAAGCCAAGAATATTCCTTTATAAAACATTTTCTTTTTGAGGAAGGGAGAAATACATCCTATGGAAAAAAATCCATGTTAGTGAACTATGACTATGAGAATTATATTCTTTGCTGTAAAAGTCAAAGGAGGAAATTTAAAGCAGGTCAATTTTTTATTCTACACATTCCCTATGCTTCAGCAGATTAATGTCAATTTGAAATGTTACTTTTAATTACGATTTCAACTGATGTTAGTACATTTCCAAGAAGGAGCTACAGTTAGGCAGTTGAGGTATGGTAGATAGAATGCTGGGCTGTGGAAGAGGGCCCCCTTGGATCCCATCTTCCCAGGTCCGCCCCTAGTAACCTTTCCTGAATGTACTTCTTGACCTCTGTGTACTTCAATCCTAAAAAAAAAAAAAAGAAAATATCTTAAAGTCCACTCCAGTGCCAACGTTCTATGATTTAGTGAATGTAAATTTAAGAAGAATCTTGAACTAAAAAACACTAATAATCTTATTATTTTTTAAAATGTAGCTTGACCATTTATTATCTCAATGCTACTGCAAAGGGCCAGAAGACAGCAAATCTGGATCTAAAAAAGAAGATGAAACAGGTAGGATATAATTTATTTCATTAACATATTACCTTTATTAATGGCAAGTAATAGTAAATACCAGTAAACCTCATGTTCTTTTCTCCTTTTTGTATTGTGTAGCAAGCTTTGGAGAACAAAATACGCAACCAGAAAATGGCGGCTGCCCGAGCAGGTTGGAGAAATGTTTATGATGACAGTTTTTTCCCCTACAAAAAAATGCTCTTCCTTCTTTTTCTTTTCTCTCTCTCCAAACGGGGCATTTGATGTGGTGTGGCATTATTGCCCTGAGTGAGTCATTCCACAATTTTTACTGTTCACTTTTTGAGACCCTCTCAGGCATTGTATCCAGAAGGCTTGGTTGGTTTCCAGTGGGGGAAAGGCAAGAGAAGGAAAAATCCAGAAATGTAAACTTGGCAGTAGTAATAGGAAGGTGACTTTGCAATTGACAGAAGATGAAGACATCCATATGGTCATATACAAATAGCTGACACAAGGGGCACCTGGGTGGCTCAGTCAGTTGAGTGTCTGCCTTCTGCCTAGGTCATGATCTCAGGGTCCTGGGATCGAGGCTCAGGTCTGCTTCTCCCTCTGCTCTCCCCCACCCACTCATGCTCTCTTTCTCTCTCTCAAAAAAATAAATAAAATCTTTTATTGAAAAAAAAAATAGCAGACACAAATGCAGAGTCTCTCCTGCTCAGTGGGACCATTTTTATATATAGATGGACACACTGGGAAGATACCATTAGGCTCTTCTGAACTCACCACTGTTGATCTCCTGGAGCCTTTTCTAAGTCATTAATCTCTCTTTTTTTGTAACCACCTTAATTTTAAAAACATTCCAGTAAGGCATACCCCAATTTGCCAAAATCCCTGATGTGCTCTGCTTTCCACATGGAAAAGTGATGTCCAAGAAGTTTAGGGAAAATTTTTTCAAACTTTTCCCTCATTCATAACTTTAAAACTCTTAGTATTACTAGGACTCTCCCCTCCTTGTAAGTAATAAAACTCAACCCAAATTGGTTTAAGTAGAAAAAAACAATAAATAAATTCATTAGCCCACACAGATGAATAGGAGAGTGGTATATGGATGGCTTCAGGCCAAGTTTTATCCCAAGTTTAGAAGTGAGCAGGGCTGAGCCCCATTTCTCTGTGGTTCTTTCAACACTACTCCTTCCATGTTGGCTGACCTTAATGCCAATAGGAATGGATGCAGCAAATTTCCAGTGCTATGTTCTTGGGTTACACTTGACTTAGATTTTTTTTTTTTCATCACTAGGCTACTTGTTTCTTTAATGGCATTCAAATTTTTTCAGCTTTGACAAGTAAAATTGTAATACATTTTAAGTGTACAATGTGCGTGCTGATATGCATATCCATTATGAAAGGACTCCCACCACTGAATTCATTAACACATCCATCGGCTCACATATTTACCTTTTTCTTTTTGTTGAAAGGACTTAAGTTCTACTCTCTTAGCCAATTTCAATTATATAATACGGTATTGTCAACAGTAGTTCACTGTGTTATACCTTACAGTCTCGGACCTTATTCATCCTATGGCTGAAAATTTGTACCCTTTTACCAACCTCTCCCTATTTCCCCCACCCCCAAGCTCCTGGGTACCACCAAGCTACTCTTTGTTTTCATGAGTTTGACTTTTTTTTCTTTCTTTTTTCAGATTCCACATATAAGTGATACCATGCAGTGTTTGTCTTCCTCTGTCTAGCTTATTTTACTTTGAATAATGCCTTCGAAGGCAGGTTTAGCCACATTGTTGTAAATGGCCGGGTTTTCTTTTTTTTATAAAGCTGAATATTATTATATTATTATGATGATATTATACATATATCACATTTTCTTTATCCATTTCTTCATAGATGGACTCTTACATTATTTCCATCCTCCCATGCTGCAATTAGGATGGGAATACAAATTAATGATTTCCTTTCCCTTGGATATATATCCAGAAGTAGGATGCTGGATCATATGATAGTTCTATTTTTAATTTCTCGAGGAAATTTCATGCTGTTTTCCATATTGGCTGTATCAGTTTACATTCCCACCAACAGTGCACAATGGTTCCCTTTTCTCCACATCCTCGTCAGCATTGGTTGTCTCTTGCCTTTGTGATAATAGACATCCTAATGGTGTGAGGTGCTATCTCATTGTGGTTTGGTTTGCATTTTCCTGATAGTGATGTCGAGCACCTTTTCATGTACAAATAGTGACCATGTGTATGTCTTCTTTGAATAAATGTCTATTCGGGTCCTTTGCTCATTTTCAAATTAGGTTATTTGGTTTGTATGTTGTTGAGTTGTATCATTTCCTTGTCTATTTTGGATATTAACCCCTTATCAAATCACAGATATATTCTCCCATCCCAGAGGTTGCCTGTTCATTTTATTGATGATTTCCTCTGCTGTGCAGAAGCTTTTTAGCTTAATGTTTACTTTTGCTTTTGCTGCTTTTGTTTTTGGTGTCAAATACAAAAATCATTGCCAAGACCAAGGACAAGTAGATTTTTCCCTAGATTTTCTTCTAGGGGTTTTATGGTTTAAGGTCTTACATTTTGTGTTGATTTTTGTGTATGTTGTAAGATAGGGTTCAGTTTCATTCTTTTGCATGAGGATATCCAGTTTTCCCAGCACTTTTTATTGAAGAGAATATCTGTTCTTCATTGTGTAACCTTAGTACCTTGTCAAAAACTAATTGGCCATATATGCATGTGTTTATTTCTCATTTCTCTATTCTGTTCCAGTGATCTTACTGTCTGTTTTGATGCCAACACCATACTGTTTAATTACTATAGCTTTGCAGTATAGTTTGAGATCAGGATGTGTGAGGTCTCCAGCTTTGTTCTCCCTCAAGGTTGCTTTGGCTGTTTAGGATATTTTTGTTGTTCCATCGAATATAAGGATTGTTTTTTTCTATTTCTTTGAAAATGCCATTGGAATTTTGATAAGGATTACATTGAATCTGTAGATTGCTTTGGGTGGTATGGACATTTTCACAGTATTAATTCTTCTAACCCATTAGCATGAACTATCTCTCCATTTATTTGTGTCTTCTTTAGTCATTACATAATGACCTTCTGTGTCTCTTGTTACCGTTTTTGGCTTAACATGTATTTTGTCTGAAATAAATGTAGCTACACCTGCTTCTGGTTTCCATTTTCATGGAATATCTCTTTCCATCCCTTCACTCTCAGTTTATGTGTGTCCTTAAAGCCAAAGTGAGCCCCTTGGGCATCTTGTAGTTGGAAGCAGGTACGTCACACATATCCACACTGCTCTTGTATTTGCTCTAGATTATGACTATAACTTAACATGATCGAATTAGTGTTTAGAATAGTGAGCGAAAAGTTCTGACTTCTAAGATCTGAATTCTAGTTAAAGCTTACTGTTATCTTTATTGTTTTAAGTAATGATATAATCCTATTGCATGCTATTTATTTGATATTTTCCTATACTTTGTACTTAAAAACATATACAACCATTGTAAAGGCAGATACTATCTTATTCATAGTTGTTACTACAGAACTTTATACATAACAGTCATCCAGTAAATACCTACTGAATTCCTACTGGCCAATAAGGAATTCTTTGATTGGAAAAATTTAAACAGGATACATTTTTATATTAATTACATAAGCAGTACTGAATAAATATTATAAAAAGAGAAGAACGTTCACTTTCCCTCTCCTGAAAAATAAGAAATATAGAAATATTTTGAATATAAAAATGCTAAATATTATGGCAACGTGGGGCACGTTTGGAAGACACAGGTTTCAGATCACCTCTTTCTGAACATTAAGCACAATGAAAGCTAAATTGTCACTTGCTTCTTCATCTTTTCTCTCTCTCTCTCCCTCTCTCGAACAGCTGCGGCTGCTCATGGCCAGTGACTTTCATAGACACGCTGGGACCCAGAAGTACTCCTCACCTTGCTGTTTAAAAGCAATGACTCACGTAAAGGGCAAGAACACAAGCATTGTGAAGTTGCTGTTCCCCTGTTCTAACTCTCATGGATTGTCAAGGTCATGCTGGTCAATCAAGACATCGTCAGGCCTAGTTCAGCTGGGAGGATCTCCACCTTGTTCCAAATTAAGGGATTTGCTCCTGCACCGCCACTTTCTCCCCTGACTCGTTTCCCTGGGATCTCTTCTAACAAACTGAGTTTAAGAGTGCGTATGATTCAGCAATACAGGTTACTGGCTTACCTTTTGGGTTAATTAAAAATACTTTGCTCGTATGGACTTCCGTTTTATACATTCCTTCTGCCTTAGTTTTCTTTGCCTTGGATCAGAGATATTTCACCATTTTTTTCCTTCAGAGTTCAGAAATATCTTAATAAAGTATTCATTGTAGTTTTTCATTAACTCACAGTTTGAAACCAACATCTTGTTTTCCATTTTTTTTTTCTGTCTCCCCGTCCAGGGCCCCCACAACTATATACTCAAGACTTTTTATTTGCTGCTGGATTCAGTATGAAAAGGAATGGGCTTTTTAAAAGAAAAATCCTAAGGGAAATATGGGCTAAATAGCCCCGGGTTGAAGGTCTCTCAGCTTAGGACGTACATGGGTCTTAGACAACCGACCATTTTGTGAGTTGAAAAAAAAAGACAATTTACATGATTGCAACTCCAGCACTGCCTGATCATGACCTCCAGTGATTACATCCCCTGAGTTTAGATTCTAATATTCCATAATTCGTCTTTGCTTTTTTGTTGAGGTTGGGAAAACATACACTTTTATGGGGGGGGTGGGCTTTAGTTTATAGATGTGTTTAAGCATTATTACTTATTTGAAGTTTGAATGGACTTTGAAGAGCTGCAATCAATGCCCTCAGCCAGGCTTGTTGTGTGATTTTAATTACGTCTGCTCACCCACAGCGTCCTTTTCCAGAACTAAGCCAATTTGCTTGCCATTCCCTGCAATTGACTTGCTGGTTTTTGTTACCATGTTGAGTTTTTCCTTCTTCACTCTTGATCTGGCCATGAAACTATCTCCCTGTTCCTCTGCCAATCCATGTGCTCATCACTTGCTATGATACAAATTCAAGATGTACTTCCTTTGGTCCAGTTTTCCAGATTGGCCTCCAACTTCCCGATAGGTTTCCTTGGGCCCTAATGTCTTTAATTCAGAGTCTATTATTTATACAGATTTTCCTGTGATTTTTAACAGTTCTTTATTGTTTCCTGTATGCATGGATCATCTTTCCTCTCCGGATTGGAAGCTCCCTATGAGCAGGGATCCTACCTTTTAACTCTTTTGTATGCCTCGTAAGTATAGTGCTGTCCACAGGTAGGCACTGAGTAAATGCTTGTTAATTAAATTGAATCAATTTAACTGGCAGCAGCTGCCCTGTGAAACAAAAACTTCTGTTATCTGCATGAAAAATGTTACTATGATATCAGAAATGGAATTATCTGTTGCTCTGCAGGGTTTATCATCTCATTCGATTATAATGTCCATGAGTAAATAAAGCTAATGGTTATTTCTACGTGGATCATTTTTGTACTGTATAGTAATAAGATTAGAGAATTGGTTTATATGTGTTGCCAAGTTTACAATGTGGATGACACTCCCTTGTTCTTGATCTACTTCATAACAAAGATGATGAGAGATGACAAACCGTCCCCCAAGGACGTCATCTCCTAAAGGTAATTTCCTTTTTTTTTTCAGTCTAGTTGCCATCTGTCACCATACACAGTTATTAACAATACTATTGACTATATTCCCTGTGCTGTGCATTGCATCTCCATGACTTACTTATTCTATAATTGAGTTTGTACTTCTTAAAACAATTGTACTTTCGGAACAAATGCTCATGGTATAAGAATTCAGGCATGATATTCTAAGTTTCAATCTTTCTAAAAATTATGTTGGATTTTTATGGCACCTAAATACCCACCTGATTTAAGTTAAGCATTTTTAGAAAATTTAACCCTTTTAGCCTCCAGAGAGCTGCCCCAAATATTTCCACAGTCCCACATGAACAAGCATCTGACAGAGTGAAAGCCATTTCCACAGTTGTCTGAGGACTATTCTGATAATAGCCTTGTACCGGGAAGGTTCTGATCGCTATGATCTAGTTCTATATCATTATTTCTATATATAATGATCAGAGCCATGAGGAAAATTTTAGAAGGCAAATGAGCAAACCAGCCAGCCAGACTCCACCTTTCATTTTTTTCTCAGGGGAATAAAAAAAATAAATTCTGGCAAATATATGTGGAAACTAAATTTACTTCTCTGAAGAGCTTCACCATCGATTTGAAAACTGAAAGACTGCATTTTGACACATGGTTAGAATCATCTCCTTTGGCTTCTGAGAGGAGTACATAGTTTAAACCATATCAAGGGGTTCATATTAACAATACTTTGACCTAAACTATGTTTTCTTATCCTGGTGGATCCCTACCTGTACCAGATCCATGCTGGCCAGGTTTGGAAATGTATTTGGTACCCAAGTATTATCATATGGTGAGGTATAGTTCCCCTAGTTGCCACAGGGGGTCAGCCTTTGCTATCTTCACTCCTCAGTGGATGAGTTAATAAGAAGAGGTTTGGGGGTCCATTTCCCTGCCTTACCCTTTGCTATCTTCACTCCTCAGTGGATGAGTTAATAAGAAGAGGTTTGGGGGTCCATTTCCCTGCCTTACCCTTTGCTATCTTCACTCCTCAGTGGATGAGTTAATAAGAAGAGGTTTGGGGGTCATTTCCCTGCTGGAACCCTGCCTTTAACCTAGTCCACCCTACTGGAACTTGCAATATTTCATTTTGCTCTACCAGCCCCTTTCCTCAAGGAATATGGGTAGATTGTGGGGAAGTGGGCTTATAATACATGCTGGGACCACACTGGGTGCATGATCACCAGGAAGCACCATGAGGTAGTACATCTTCATCCATTTGATAAACATTTATCAGACACTGTGTGTCACATGTTTATCAAACATAATGTATCCCAGTATCACCTGCTCTTTATATTTTCTCCCAATGTTTTGTACCACCTGACATACAGATCTTCTTGGTTTCTAGAATCTTCTAGAATGATACTACAACTTACAAAGCCATTTTAAGGTTGAGGAAAATCAATGATACCTTTCCATTTCAGGCAAGACTGTCCCTTTCTTCACCATGACACAGATATTACAGTACATTGTCAGAAATTGGAAAAGAGTTTTACTATCTTTTATTCTCTGTCAAGTGCAATGCCAAGCAAAATCCAGATGTTATCCTCACCTTTCCCAGCCTTCTTCCAAAGCTAGGATTTTTTGATGGGCAAATAACCCTGGACCGCAGTATTGGCATCACATGCTTAGGGAATGGAATGCAAACAAAGGAGTTTAATCTACAATGGAAAACCAAGTTCTCTGGGGGAAAATGAATGAGATGGGAGTCTGATGACTTTTATTTCCTCACATGAGTCAAAAATATAATATCCAGTTATAACTTTCTTTGGCCTTGTTTGGTGTACAAGGATAAAAGGGTCTCCACAATTTATTTGTCAAGAAATATATCCCCAAAGAATAAGTAAGCAGGCTTCAAAAACAAGAGACTTAAGAATGGGATTGGCAGGTGTTCTCAGCTCTCAATGCAGGTATGCACTTGATCTGTTGGAAGACAGACATTGAGACTTAAGAATGTATTTTTTTTTTAATGAACTATAGTCATGGCCTCTTTTTGTCTTTACTTCCTGCAAGAAGGAAATGCCATAATGTGATGGTGACAGGAGTTCTGAAGCCCCTTTATGAGATTTATTTTCCTCAGAGTTCCCTGGCAATAGATTGCCTTGATACTTGGCCTTGGATGGTCCAGCTGCCTTTTCCAGGATGGGTTTTGGTGACTTAGTAACTATGAATAATGGAAAAATATATATAAGAAATACTTGACCTCTTCTGAGGATGTAGATATTATATAACACCCATCTTTTTCATACACACCCAGAAGTTTTCATACAAATCCTTGTGGTTATTTAAAACCTTATAATAGGGACGCCTGGGTGGCTCAGTCAGTTAAGTGTCTGACTCTTGATTTCGGCTCAGGTCATGATCTTAAGGTCCTGGGATTGAGCCCCGCGTCTGGCTCTGTGCTCAGCGGGGAGTCTACTTGGGGCTTCTCTCTCTCCCTCTCCCTCTGCTGCTCCCCCCACCGGCACATGAGCTCTCTCTCTCAAATAAATAAAGAAATTTAAAAAAAAATAAAAACTTATAATAGAGGTACGTGTTCATTACAGCAAATTTAAAAATTTTGAATAGAATAAAAAAGTAAAAAAACAACAACAACACAATTCCACCATCCAGAAAAACTGCTGTTAGTGTTTGAGCACATTTTTTCCCTTCAGATTCACACACATATACACACAGACTTCATAAAATGTTTTGGATCATAAGATATATTTAGTTTTATCTTACTTCCTTATCTAACATTTTCCCATGTCATAAAATTACTTCAAGACATTTTTTAATGGCTATAAGATATGTCCTGTGACTTAAAGGAAATTGTTCAAAACCTCATGTTTCTCATCTCTGAAAATGGGGATAATAAGAGTCCTACCCCCTAAAGTTTCTATTTGGGATTAAAAGATAAAGCCTGCATAGAACATAGCACTGTGCCTGGCATGTGGTCAGTGCTCAGCAATAGCCATTGTTGCCATCCTTGTTTTTAGGGAGTTCTAAATAATTGTAGTTACGGTATAATTAATTTTTCTGCTTGACCATACATATAGGCTCTGTGAAGTAATTGAGAGCACTATTGAGATGAGAATTATCCAGAGCCTGGTCATAATTTTTATAGGAATGGGATACTGAAAATATCATAGTGATCCCCAATATCTACTTTTAAATAAAAACAAGATTAGTCTTAAAATACTAAACTTACACGCATGCTGAAGTCAGATGCTTCTTTCTAAAAAAAAAGAAAAACAATCCTGCTCTGTTGGTTCTCTAAACACCTGCTTACTTGCTCTATCATATAATCCAGCCATGGAATTAGCAATCTAATGCGCTTATAAATTAGAGTGTAAGGCCCTATGGGTATGGTTAGCATTTTGCAGGGATTATATAAATGGGCTAAATGAGGACCAGTGAGTCAACAGGAACAGAAAGTGTGACTGAGTTGAGTGCTAAAATCCTAAAATGCTTTTTTTTTCTTTTAGGATCAAACTTTTTTCCTATATGAGTATATAGCACAGATTTGATAATAGACGTAAATGGGAGAAATGGCTTTAGTACACATTTTGAGAAATGAGTCTCTGTATTTTTTTTTTTTTAAGATTTTATTTATTTATTTGACAGAGAGACACAGCGAGAGAGGGAACACAAGCAGGGGGAGTGGGAGAGGGAGAAGCAGGCTTCCCGCCGAGCAGGGAGCCCGATGCGGGGCTCGACCCCAGGACCCTGGGATCATGACCTGAGCCGAAGGCAGACGCTTAACAACTGAGCCACCCAGGCGCCCCAGTGAGTCTCTGTATTAAGGCAGGTCAAACTGAATGACACTAATTAAGAGAAATTTTTTGTGAATGTGGTATTGTTATGCCTGATGTGAAAATACCTCTGAAAAAGATAATAGATAGATTAACAGGTCTGAAGGGCAAGATGCTTAGGACATGGGCCTCAGAATTGACAAATTCTTGTAGTGGAATTCAAAGTTGCGTAAGTGACTAAGGCATGACCCTCAGCAGAAGAAAATTAGCCCACTGCAGAGGAAGCCATTGGCTGGAAGTACAACTGATCTCAGTGGGACATGGAATGAGTTGGTTCCATGGGAAATGTTTGTCCCTGGTGAAGTAAGAGATAAGACCCAGTGGACATACTCAGCCTTTGAATCACAGAAAAGGCTCCATACATATCAACTCAACAGACTATTAGATTAACGGTGGGGGCTGAATGTGGCAAGGCAGTTGGGGGTGGGGGGTAAGGAGCACTGACTAGGGAGTCTAAGGTTTGAGTTCAAGTTCTGTTCCTGACTAAAAGCATTATTCACTGGCCATGTGCTTTTCTGGTTATCATTACTAGCTTTTTGACCTAGGATGACTACCTACCCTCACTAGGCTTCACTTACCTCATCTTTAAAGTGGGTTATAATCGTCTCTGTTCAAATTGCTGTAGGAATTGCATGAGATGCTGCTGTTGATGAAAACCTCCCTGCCCAGTTTAGCATGAAGCACACAGTTTAGCGCATAGTTAACAGTTGGGTCAATATTACCCATAATTCTCCTTTTTCTTGTCAATCAAATACTTTTATTTGAAAATGTTAGTCATGTTTTAGTTAAAAAATTAGGATGATTTTAGTTGAGCTAAATCAGAGAGCTATTAATCTGAAACCAGTTGCAAAGCAGCTTTTACTCAGTTGGAAAAACCCAATCTTTCACAGACCCAATAAAAACAACTGTCCGGGGGCACCAGGCTGGCTCAGTCCATAGAGCATGCGACTCAATCTCATGGTGGTGTTCGAGCTCCACGTTGGGTGTTGAGGTTACTTAAAACAAACACACAAACGAAAACAAAACAAAACAAAACAAAAAAACCCTGCTCAGATTATTTTGGCACATTCTTAGTATTTTTTAGAGGGGTGTGTTTTAGTAGCAGAATGGCTTAGCAAATATCACATAAGCCACATTGAATGAATAAAAATGTCTGTGCTTGAGCATTGGGGCC